GGCCGCCTTCGGGCCTCTGAAGGAAGCCACCGACCAATTGACGGACCCGGAGCTTCGTGCCCACCTGTTCGACTCAACCGTTCTCCCGGCGCTCTGTTACGCAGCTGAGACTTGGGCCGACACTGTAGCCACGTCGAAAGCTTTACGGACCACCCACAGAGCGCTCGAGCGCAGTCTTCTGAAGATGACCCGACGCAAGCAACATCTAGTCGGACTTCGCAGCACGGATATGAAAAGAATGTCCCGTCTTCGTGACCCAGCGGAATACGTCGCGAAAGCCAAACACCGATGGGCCGGTCACATAATGAGAAGAACAGACGACAGATGGACACTAAGAACATCGGAGTGGATTCCTCGCGAAGCCAAACGTCCTCGAGGAAGACCACCGACGAGATGGGCAGACGTGTTCGTGGAACGGATGGACCAGCTGAGAAATCAGCTGGATACGACTTTCGCCCCTGGAACTCGTGGACGCAGCCACCGACGACGGCCAAGAAGATCGTGGATGTCTGAAGCAAGGGACAGGGAAAACTGGCGACTTCTGTACTGGGGCCCGCACGTCACGTGAGGACGGGCCATCTAAGTATCTTAGTAAGTATTCTTTCCATGAGAGTCTTCTATATAAGCATCCATTCGAATCTGATCGATGGAGCGCTTCAATTCATCTAGATTGAAATTTTTCGCTTCCATTCGCGCAATCGCAACCAAATCTCAGTCTACGAGTACATCGGCTTCACTTGAAATTCCAAATTTTTTTTCTTAAACTTCGCAAAAAATTTCTTCGTAAAATATGTTGTAGCCAAAAGCTTGCTATCATACCGCACATTTGTCTAGTGATGAAACAGTTATCATGAAGGCATGAGACGAATTTCATTTCGACTGCCTGCTTGTCACGACAGACAGAGGTGCAGGATTATGAAGGGTTGCTTTGGAACCAAAAGAGGCAGTCTCAAATTTCGAGAGCTGCGCATACTATATTTATAAAGGTTCGGTTCATGTATGCACCAAATTTTCCGTTTCTAGGTGCTTCCTTCTGATTTTATCTGGAAAATTCTTGGGTTGTCCCAAAAGTGAACTCCTTTTTGAATAATTTAGGCTGTTTTTGCTTTACTGGTAGACTTGGGATATCATTCGATAGAGCAAGTCAAGCTCTACAAAAGTCCACCAAGGGTCCGCCTGAGTCGCATTCCATGTAAAGCTTGAAGCTAAAATCGAAAAATTTTCTTGTCACCTGAAAATTGGATTTTCGCAAGGAAAAGCCTTGCGGACCTCCAATTGGGTCATTATACAGTAGGCATATAATGGTACTCAAATATGATTTTCCCGAGCATAGAAAGCGAGAAACAAAAATTGTCCAAAAATGGCAAACTCCGCATTTTTGCGCAGGTAGCTGAAATATAGTCTTTACTGGAAAATATGTGATTGCAAGAAATTCTCTACAGCGCTTACGTTGCCGAATTAGGGTGTAATAGACTAACATATGTACGAATTCACTTTCATTCAAAATTGTCTTGCTTGTACAACTGATGTGTCGAAGTTGTAGGTGAAAGAGTAAAGCAACTCAGTCGATCGGATCCCTCCGGCGGACAGTCGAAATCTGCCAGAGCCGCGGCGGACCCAGTTGACCAATGAGAGCGGGGCGAGGGAACGGTCCCTTCTTGTGACGTCACAAAGTAGGCAGATCTGACCCCTCCGGCGGGCTTGCATATCTCTCGGCCGCAAGTACGTCAGATTTGCTGGGGTCGCGGCGCAGAGATTTGCCCGCCGCGAGTCCGCCAGATTTGGAAGAACCGCGGAGCAGAAAATCGGAGGGGTCTGAGACAGAAAATCGGAGGGGTCCGGGACAGAAAATGGGAGGCCTCCGGCACAGAAAATGGGAGGCCTCCGGCGCACAAAATGGGAGGTGTCCGGCGCACTAAATGGGAGGGGTCCGGCGCACATATATGTACGCAGTCAATTTGCTGTGATACGCAGCTTAGCATTTTCGAAAATAAGTTGCCGTCGCTCTCGTCTTACTCGTTTTTTGTCGTTCTTTCGCGCTCGTTTTCTTTTTTTTTGGTTTTTCGTGTCCCTCGTCGGCGCGCTGGCGTTTATTTGTTCATCTCCTTCTTTTCAGGCAGGTTTTACGTTTTCGTGCGGATGCACTTAGTCACTTTTAGTGTTTGGCTCTTTTCGACTTCCTGAGACATCGTTGACTATTGATGGAGTGGTTTTTGTGATTGAGATTCGGCCTCGGCACCCTTATGTGGTGTCTCTTCAATTATTTCCGTGTTTCCGGGATTGATTGATGCTAGAATTATCCGTACACTGCTTGGCTCTGTCTCAGAGAATATCTTATACGGTTAGTCTGTCGCATTCTTGCTAAGTGCAGATCTGCTATGCAAGTTCATGCAACTCTTTCACATTTTTCAGTATATCGTCTACTTACAGTTTACCTGTTAGAAATTGTGACAGGCGCTCAAGAAATTTTCATTTTTTTTCGAGATTCCAAGTTCTCAGACTTTGCACAAAGTCATAAAATGCAGGGAAAGTCTGTGTCCTTGTTTCTGATGATAGATAAGCCTTCAAATTTGCATTCCAGCGTGAGGGTCACTCTAGGAGAAAAGGTCCACAGAAATGTCCACGTACCGTCGCACCGCAAACCAAACTTTACGTAGCTGCAGGTGGAAGGAGAGATATCACAGTGAAGGTGAGTGGTACATTCTACGAAGTGCTCATTTTTGAGCTTGGATTTGTAAGGTCCAAAACCTCGATCCGATCTTCATGACGGATTTTCGATGTCACTTCAAAGTAGGAAACGTTGAACGCGAAAAACATGCTGTCGGGCCATTCGACGACAATGTGATATGAGGAAAATTGCAATTGTTTTGCTTTTGCATCCAATTCTGTTTGTGCTTGTGATGAGATGCAGTTCAATCACTACGGGCTTGGTGTATCGGGAGGATCAGCTCCGGTCGAGTTCAACGTTGTGTGGTCCTCGAGCGATTCTTCCAGAAAACACACTCTGGATAACATTGGTGGAGTGGCCGTGGAGGTTGATCGGAATTTTTTTAGTGATAGGTGTCGTAATTTGTGGTTTTTCCAGGTTTATAAGTGCGAAGCTCTTGCATCGAACTGTGGCCGATGTCTTACGCTGAATGCTGAAAAGTATGAATGTGGCTGGTGTGTTATAGACAACAGATGTGTCAGACCAATGGCATGCTTGGCAAGATGCTTGGCAAGGTACGTTTAGTTACTGGTTCACTAGTTTCATTACACATGGTCACCCCACCTGATAGTACTTTCTCGCTAGTAAAAGCGACAGTTCCACAGGTGAACGCAGCAGCAGTAGACCTAACCTTCGTTTTTCCACCGACGGGTCCCTTTTTAGGACTGAAGTCTTCATTAGCTGGATTTGCACACAGCTGCGTGCTATTCAGCCAATCTTGTGGTGATCTTGCCAAGCATGCCATTGGTCTAACACATCTGTTGTCTATAACACAACAGCCACACTCATACTTTTCAGCATTCAGCGTAAGACATCGGCCACAGTTCGATGCAAGAGCTTCGCACTTATAAACCTGGAAAAACCACAAATCACAACACCTATCACTAAAAAAAATTCCGATTAACCTCCACGGCCACTCCCAATGTTATCCAGAGTGTGTTTTCTGGAAGAATCGCTCGAGGACCACACAACGTCGAACTCGACCGGAGCTGTTCCTCCCGATAACCAAGCCCGTAGTGATCGAACTGCATCTCATCACAAGCACGAACAGAATTGGATGCAAAATCAAAACAATTGCAATTTTCAGTAAATCGTTTTACAGTCAATTTGAAATAAATGTTTCGTCTTTTCTTCATTCTTCTATTTTCAATCTACAAACGCTAGGAGTGAGAGGGAGGGGGTAGAATACGGGGGTGAGGGTCGCGCTGAAGTCCTACCCCGGGGGGGGGGGGGGTCGTATTCGGCTAATTTGGGTGAGGTTTAGAGGCATACATGGGGTTTGGAGCTTATTTAGGGTTAGTTACAGTATGCCGCGGCAGACTTGCGGCGCACAAAATGGGGGGCTCCGGCGCACAAAATCGGGGGGCTCCGGCGCACGAGTGGCAGACCTCCCGCTGGGGAAACCCCGCGGCCCTGCCATTTCTGCGCCGGAGGGGTCCGATCGACTGTCTGAGAACTAGCAGAACCATGTACCAGTAACTCTTCAACTCGCGGCATCTTTAAAAATTTCAGAAATTGAGTAGCCCTAAATTTGTGCACGAAAAAATCTGCCTTTTCATTTGCTCAAGATAATCTTTAGATCTTAAGTATTGTACGAACTTTTTTGGTCATAAATAATCTTAAAACTTTTCGCAATTCATTGATGGTTACTGAATATGCCCGCCCGTTTATAGGGGAGCAGCACCATGTCAAAGAAAGCAAATTTACAGAAAACACACTAGAATAATTGCAGTCCTGTTCTTCTACAGTAGTGTTTTTCGTCGGTCATATCATCCTTCTGATAGGAGAAGCTTGCTCAATCAAGAAAAATTAGGCTTACTGAAAAAATTTGTAGATAAAAGAAGTTATGATATACAGAACCCGAAAACTGCAAACGGGCGGACTTTTATGCAATAGCCTGATGCAAATTAATCGACTATACAGTCTGTCCCAGTCCGAACTAGGCTAGAATTGGACTGATGCGTATCCGCATCGCCACGCTGTTGCGTCCGTTTAAAGCTTGTTTGTCTGCGTCTCTTCAAACTCCTCATTCTCTCCGACAGCCCGCGTATGCAGTACAAAACCTAGCGCTACGAGTGCTGATTTACGCCATCGTTTCACCCTGATCCAAATTGGGACAAATTGTACAGTATTTTCCTTAGTCGTATCCTTGTAAAAAACCTAGAAAAAGCGTGTATACAGTAAATCAAAGCATATATGGAATATATTTATTGGCATTTTATCACATTAAACTACAAAAAGAAAGGAAAAATACCCCAAAAGTGTATACAAAAACAACGTCTATTGTCCCACAAACTGTCGTCACAATCCCACAAACTAGAAAACAACTCGATGGAATGCTGTCTCAGAGACAACTTGGCAGTTGCTAAAGTTAACAAAAACATTAGCATCTATCAACCATGAGATGTTGGCTAAGCCTGAACCATTCAATGTATGCCCCCAACGCTAGATTTTACCAAAAAAATCATAGAGAAAAAAAGGAAATGCTATGAGCTAGATAGGTATATTCTAAGGTAGGAAGTTGTACTGAAAATAATCGCTGAGTTGAAAAACTACACTTTTGACGAATGCTTTGGATGCTGTTGATTCAGGAACTCAGGTCCTCGGAGTCCAGTTCGCTGTAGGAAGAATCTGCGCTTTTCTCCTTCACATTCTTTTCATCTGTCCAAGACTGCTGAGGTAACTCGATCGGTTCCGAACGAGTGGACGATAGATAAGGTATCAGGCGAACATGAGGAGGAATGTAGAAGGCGCGCGGATTGCGGAACTCTGTGATGCGTTCTCCACCTTTCACAGATATACCTGAATGACACACTAATAACTTCTTACAGGCACTGTCACACAAAGTGAAATGTTGAGATTTTGGTGAAGTACAATAGCGCAGCCTCTAACTAAGTATTTGCCCAAGTCCCGCTGCGAAAGATGAAATCCGGAGCAAAAAAATAGGTCTCAAAATTAGAAGCGTCCGTCCATCAACGTGGCGGTCTGAAGTAACGAGTTCGGAAATGGGCCTCAGGGTAGTTAGAAATGTAGAAAATTATTAATGAAGGGCAGATTTATGCAATTTTTACAATAATCAACCTTGGACATGTTATCTTGAGACCACCCACGCTGATGGGCGGAGCCACCTTGGCCGCCTCTACTTTCGGGAGCTATTTTCTCGCTTTGAAATAAATTTATCTTTTGCAGCGGGACTTGAGCGATCACTTAATTAGCGGCTCAGCTGCTTTACGACATCAAAATCTCATCATCTTCAGTTTGGGTGACGATGCCTTTGACAAATTTTAGGTTAAGATAAAAAACATACTTTTGGACTTCAGCATCAAGAACTGAGCCACAGCATGAGCAAGAGCCCTTTCTAAGGAGTTTTCGAACATTCCAACGTAGACATTGTCATCCTTGCCCGAGGAATTTGGCGAAGTTGAACAGAAGAACGATAAAAGCTCGCCTTCGAGGTTATCGATGAAGCCCTACAAAAAGATTGCATTGAGTGGAAACTTCAATTAAACCATGGAAACTTGCCCAGGGTAAGCGTTTCTCAGACAGCAGTCGTTTACTTCTGCTGTCCATACGCTCAAAGCATGCCTTGCCATAGTACGCGGGATGATCTGAATGTATTAGGGTGATCCAAAAGTAATGGGGCACCTTGATTTTTTTAACATTCTTCAAAATTTCTTTCTGATTAGCTATGAACGCCCAGCATTTTTAACGCCTTTGTATAAAGTGACCTTCGCAGGTATCTTGACAGCACCTTGCAGCACCTCACCGACATTTCTTCGAGTGGCGCTTTGAAGAAGCCAGACAGACATTTTTGAACGCCATCCGAATTTGGGCTGCTGCACCTGATAGTCCATCGACATATGGCATACCATTCGAAAGAGCTTTCCAAGCTCTTTCTAATGATTACTTGAATATCCAAAAATTGCCAATTATTTTATACAAAAAAGGCACTTTATTCGAAAAAAGTGCGGTGTCTGGCGCAGATTTTCAGACTAAAATTCATGTTTTGGACCACAATCTTTTGAAAATGAGGAAGTCGAAGTAGTTTGCATATGTATGGATAGAGCGTAAAAAGCACTATCAGAAAGCAACTGCTAAGTTTGGTCTTATTTGATTACCTTGATGAAAGAATAAGTAATATGTCTCCTGATACCCAATGCTATATCTTCTGTTCTAAAGCCTTGGGAACACTGAGCTAATGTGAGTTTGGTGACAGTCCCTTTACCCATTGCTGCGCACATATCTTTGGCAGGCTCACTTGTTTTACTGCGGGGCTGCTGCTCAAAGTTCGAAATTACTTGGAGTGATGAGCTTTAATTTTAAGCGCTTATAGAATTAACGCCATGTGACAGTGTCCAACTACAGACCTCGATCAGAAGGTTTTATTATGTACTAACATCTGCCAAAACTTGGACTTCCAATTAGCTTTTCTACTTGAGAAAACTGCGTTTGTTCTCTAGCTGCCCCATTACTTTTGGATTACCCTAATATTAGCATATGCAAACTCTGGCATTCCTCGCACCTATAAAAGCAATGCACTTGGGAATTTTGATTTCATATCATTTCAAACAGGATTATGAACATTTTTTTGCTGAGGAAAGTGGCTATCCATGTCTTTTCAATGAAAACAAAATTTTTGGCTGCGTCCTATCTGATTCTAAGGCAGAGGTAAATGCGCAAAAACAAATAGCCATCGGTTGCAAAAATAGATATTCCAATGCCATTTTACACGCGCAAATTGTCGTCACAAGCTGGATTTGTACACGCGCAAGTAATATAGGCACCGCAACGGTACTATAGGGACAAGAATTACTAGCCTAAAAGCTCGGTACATTGCCTGCATAGTTGGATTTTGAAGAGAACAGGTTTTTTATAGGCAAAAGCTTGGCTCGTTTCACACAAATTCCGCGAATGTACCGGCAACGCCCCATTTTGAGAGAAGCCTACGCGGATTTTAAAGTTGTGGGGTGATTTCTTACCCGTCGATTGTCAAAATATTTGTTAGAAATGTTGAAAACTCAAATTTTTTCGGAAGCGCAGCTGCATCGATTGCAAAAAGACTGAGAAGCATTCCCAAAATTTTTGAGGACTGAATACGACAACGCGCCCCTTCCGGGATTTTTTTGGTACGCCCCTCTAAAAAATTTCTCAGGACGCTACTGCATATTAACTATCATCATAAGTTCCACTACACCGGCTTTGATCGAAATTGTGATTGTTGGAACTAACTGGTGGCGCCAACGAAAACCTTTCCTTGGATTTTCAGATTAAATTTGCGCGAGGCATTCACAAGCATTGACATATTACTGAGAGTTCAAGTAAACTGGCAAAAGTTGGGAGGAATTGGAGGGTCTGTGAAGATGGCCCTCAAACTAATTTGTTTTCAAACTAGTAGCAAAAAAAACTGGAACAAAGATAGCATAAAATCTGGATAGCCGCAGACTCCATGGGGGTAGTCAATAACCAAATCATTTCAAACAACTCTTCAGAGAAATCCTCAAAAAAATCTTCCAAGAATATTAGAATAATTTGAGGACTAGCAAACTACAAAACTACTTACGTTTTCGCCCGTCGATTTCTGACGATTTCAGAGTTTTGGACGAAGGCCCTGGCTTTCCACCCACGACAAACCAGGTGCGACCATCACCTCTGTTTGTGTCCACCTCTTCAAGAATGTGACGTTGTTCATCTTCGTCACGCTCGATAAATTCATTCCAGGCCTACAATGAAAAATTACTGTTTTAAAGAAGAGACTGTAAGAGTATAGTAGAACTACCTGCATACTCTTATCATCCAGAAACAGTCTTTCAAATGCTGTCACAGTGTGTGGAACGAGATCGGAGAAATCTGTGCAGATATCCTCCTTATCCGCAAAGTTCATAAGGATGCGGACTGCAATAGAAAACCTAGGAAACAGAATATCAGAAGCGCTCCTTATAAAATGAAGTCTTCTACAAGACGATAGAAATTCAAAGAAAACTTACAATTTTCAAGACGACGCTGCCGTCTAGCTCCCATTGAGCTATTTATCTTGACCCCAGAATTTTCGATGTCCAAGAAGCGACGCATTCTGGAAAAAATGATCACATACACTGTAAAAAAACATACCTCACGGGCCTTGAGCGCCAAAAATCTGACCGGCTCTCCAATAGCAGAAGTCAGTCAGATACCGCACATACTAATGTGAATTTGTAAATACAAAGCACTCACTTTTTTTCTGCCCTTCGCTCCTTGTTCCTTCTCGTACGAGATGCTGGTGTATCCTCGGAGATGCGGCATTCATGGATATTTTCTGGAGCCTCATCACCGCTTTCCGAGAAGTCGAAACTAAAAAATACACTTAAGACTTAGCTACTTAATTTTTAAAAACATAAGCGAGTAGCAGTGAGGAGCTGACGGAGGGTGAGGGGGGGGGAGCAAAAATAGGTTGCAAAGTTTTTGAAGAGTGTCCACACGAGATCAAAAGTTTTTTGAAAGCTTGCCTGTTATAGGCGCGCAAAATCTGGAGATGAAATTTTTTTCAAGGGGGGGGGGGGGAGGGGCTAATGCCTTGCCTCTCCCAATTTGGAAAAATTTCCCTCCTCCACCGAATAAAATTTGTGAGACCGCCAATGGCAGATAGGTGCCTCCCACTCTTGTCAGCTATATGTTTAGTGGAGCTTTTGACTGATATATAGCAATTCCCACGATTTTTTTCAGACTTGGAAAACGAGATAACTTAGATTTTCAACTTTCATATATGCGGAGTTATACATGGAACTTTGGAAGGTGAAGCAAATTAACGTTTCTTTATGGTTATAAACCTCAATCAAACGTCACGGCTAACAGCGAACAAGAATTTTTTTAAAGCTACATCTCGGTGCTAACAGTTGCATACACGTCATAATTTCAGCGATAATGAAGTAATGCAAAATTTATTTTGGAAACTTACTCAGCATAGTTGAATCTACCAATGACTGCGTCTGGATCATCATCCTCCACCTTGATTGGACGAAGAGCATCAAAACGGCGAGTCACACCCATGATCAACAAAAGCGAAGCACTAAATACTATAGAATGAATGCCGTAGAATGTGCAACTTCTATTCGATAAATTTTCGTTGGCTTCACAAATTAGAAAACATTGTGTGTAATTGGAAGGTGAAATGCAGTATGAGCCGGGATAATAGATTCAAATCGGTCATATGACTATAACATGTGAACAAATTCTATGCAGTAGAATATAATTAATAAATTTTATAACATATGATAGATAAACTAAATACCTGTGCAAACAAAACAAAACCAATCTACCGATACAGAATATAAGCGTCTGACATGGCAAAATCACTTTAACCAAGCAACGAAGATCATATGGGTTGCCAGAACAATTTTAAGAAAAACCATGTGCTTCATAGAACTTTTCTGAGTCGCTATTTCCTTGAGCAAACTCAAAAAAATCATTTGGAGTTAGTGTTTCTATGTTGCCTACAATGTGCGTGTACGGTCATGTTGTGCACTTGCGAAAAATTTATTCAAACTATTCATTACGCATAAAAATCCAACATTATGAGCATTTGCAAATGTTATCGAGCGCAATATCATTAACCATACACTTTCTTCAAGATTTACGACTGGTGATTGACCTCCTTTCAGTGTAATATTGTGAAAAAAGTCGCGGCATTTACCATGATGAATAGCATGTCATATAATTCTCATGGACAAAAATCAAATGGAGCTTGATTCTGATCAATCTGTAGTACTTCTATTTCACTAGAGGCACAAAAAGCAAGTAAATTGCAGTCACGAAGCCAAATGGTTTCCCGGAATTCCTGACATTCAGGATCTTGAGCATTTTAAGAGTCAGCTGAAGTGGAATAGTATAGCCTTCCCCTAATCTTGACCATAACCTGTTATCAGGGCTTGGCACGAGGTGGCTTTCCGAAAATGCAAAAAACGAAGTTTCCCCTGGCTTTCGCAAAAAAAAACCAAGTCTCCTCTGATCCTTATCTAAATTATTTCAATCGACAAAAAAACAATGCGGACCCACAAAAAAAATTATTCCCTTTGCTGTCCCAAAAACATATCCAGCTTGCTTATAAGCCATCTGTGCCGGGCCCTGTCTGTTATTCTAGACAAGGCTTCCAAAGATCGCTGTGGAATCGATAAAATTTTATTCTTCAATGCGATTAACTGATGTCAGTTTCAAGATAAGGCGACTTCGCTGAAAGATGAGGTGGTCTCGTCTTGCAAAAATGTTGCACAACATCATAATTGAACTATTGACTTCGCGAAAAAAGCAGACATAATCACATGTTACAAGTACAGTGCACTATTTTATGGCATGCAAGTTTCGTTGCAAGCAAGGAGATGTATCAAAATGAAAGAAGTATTGTGGTAGTTATTGTATCAAATCATTAGGTTGGCTGATAAACTCGGCAACGAAGTGAGAAACTCCAATTTTCTCCTACGCAAATATGAGAAAATCTGGGTTTTTTAGATGAAACGCTTTCAAAGTTGTAGATCACATCTCCATTGTTATTCCAATAATAGAGAAAATTCTCTGTATCCAAATTCCAAACTGCATTCTCTACATCCACTACAGCATAATAAAAAAGATTTGGGAAGGCAAAGAATTGAGCTTTTGGAAATCTAGCCATGTCAGAGCATAAGTGTCTTTACTGATGAAAGAAAATCCTGAATATTTGATGTGGATAGAGGAAGTTTGATCTACTTACAAAAAATCATGGATATAAAACAACACAGAAGATTTTTTATGAAGATTTGCATAACAAAACGAACTTATTTTTAGCCAACCTCATTGAAAAAAGCATCGTAGTAATAGTGCCCATGGAAGAGGTATTTGCAAAAAATCATCTTGTGACTTTTCGGTTCTTTTTGGCACCGACAGGGCTAGAACTGTTGTCTTAGCAAAGATTTTTCTGAAGATGTACGAGTTGCAACGATCACGGGAAGAGCAAGTGACATGTCCATTGCAAATAAATCAGCCGACTGCCACGGTTTAAACTGCCACGTAGTTAGCTAACAAAGCAGTTATGTACTTTTTCCCAATTAGATGTCAAAGAACTAGCAACATTTTTCATTGAAAACTGGTCCACTTCTGTGTTTCCCCATTTAGACAATGTTTGCCAGCGAGCTAAAGGGGAAAAAATAGAACAGTGCAAAAGAGGTTGAAGAGCACTGCACACAAAAGAAGTTTTCGTCAAAATTACACAAGGTCGTAGAGCTGTTGCAGAGCGCTGACAGTGAGGTAAATTTCAGCGAAATCGCAGCGCAAGTCAAGGATAGATTAGAATCTCTTCCGTGATGTTTGATGTTTGATGTATGCTGGAACCTCGCTGGCTATGCCAGCAAATTGCCACTGAACAAAGATATTTCAAAGTTAGATCTAAAAATTTCAAAACCGTCAAAATTACAATTTGCATTCAAATTTACTTTAATCCAAATGACCTTCTCATCAAAATACACTATGAACTTCAGCTGATTTGAATGAAATTGCTTGCACTTGTAAGCTTTTTCTATGTAATTCATTTGTTCATTACTGCCATTGTATTTCGAGGCATCAAAAGTGGATATACGATTAATCAATTTGAATAAAATGAAGCATTTTACGAAAAAAAAACGTAGAAATTAAGCACATTACAAAAAAGGAATAGAAATCAAGCACAACAAAAAATCAATCGATATCGATTCGAACACATTTTGAAGAATCTTCCTATTGTACGAACAATCTAAGCGGAAACTTAATGTTGAAATTTGCTTATAAATACCCCTGCGGACGGGTTTTCAATCAAAACGAGCCATAAGCAATGTAAACGAGGTCATAAATCAAATCCTTATTGTTTATGACGCCTTCTAAAAAGCTATCTGGCTTTATTTTTCCACAAGAAAATGGTCATATCACGGCATGATTACGATAATTATATCGTAGAAAACCTGGAATGGAACTGGAATCTTCAAAATCTAATTCAGTTATATTGTGCATATGACCTACTTATAGACAGCTGTTCAAATTCAAAATATCGAGTTTTCAAAAAGTGGATCCGCTTTTCAAATGCATCAAAGATCACGAGACAGTGCACATGTGGTTCCTGACATTCCTAGTGAATTTGATCGAATTTTCACGACAACGATGAATCGAATGGAAAACATTGTTCGGCCAAAAAATTCTACAAAACAAACGAATTCAAATTTTCTGACGTTTTTACAGTGGAAATGAGGTTATGTGCAGGAAATGATATCATTGTTGGCAACATATGAGGAGACTTGAAAAGGGTAAATAATGAGTTGAGAATTTCTCCAAAAAGGAGAAAACAAGGAGTTTCTGGTCGGGAGATTGTTAATGTGGTAGGAAAGGGTGAGATAAGAGTAAAAAATGTTCCAAGAATGAAGAAATTGTTGGTCACGCAAAATTACGCTGTCGATACGTCGATAAGCGTGCGTGTGCTGTGAGAATGACGCGCGACGCCCCACACTCGTGGCCGTCGGGTGATTCTCGCTCGGCTGCCGAGGCGGGGGGGGGGGGGGACTGAGAGAGCATGATCGGAACGGAGGGGGCAAAACGAACACAGGGCTCTAGGCTGAGCTGAGTTCTGTTTGGCGCAAAAATTCCTTTTATCCATCAATCCGGCTTTTTAGATCATGTCTGGACTTGTTAAGTTGCACTGTCATGTCAAGTCACGTGCTGAACACGTGTGGACAGGTAGACAAGTCCGCAACGCGTCAAAACTTGCGCATACAGCACCCAAATCCTGGAAAATCGCGGAATTCAATTATTTTTTGCAATTTCTGCAATAATTCTGCACAAATAACCTCCTTTTGCTCTTATTATCATTCCTTTTGCCCTTTCTTTACACATTATCGATGACCTTAATATTTTCTTTTAGCTGCGATAAGATATGATGCTTATACGAGCGAACACGCTGTTCAGTCTTCGCATTCGATTAATCTTGCTCGTCCGCTTTGCAGTTTTCTATCCGATCCTGTTTATCTGTCCATTTTCCACGTAATACCAGCTGTACATCCATTAATCAAACTCTCTTCGGTGAATATAGTGCTCTTGCGGTGACGACAACATTTGCGCGTAAACAAACGCCACGCTTGAAATGAGGTCGTTTTTTCGATGATTTACGCGCAAGTATTGTCCATAGAGCGCATATTATTGTTAATCATGCGCATATTGTGGGTAACGCAAAAACACATTATAGTTAGCACTTCTTGCAGGCTGCTTGCATTCACCTCTTACTGGTTTAAGTTGAAGCAAAATTACATCGAAGCAGAACACTAGCGTACATGACAGAATTACTGTGATAAATTTGCACTAACAGAAATCTGTCCTAGAAAAATGTGCATTAGGAACTGACAGCTGTATTGGTGTTCCTCGAAACGGTTGCAGCCTGTGCAATGTACTATTAATAGCAACGATAATAAGTTGCAATTGTGGAACATTATTTCCGTTTTGCTTGCTAGCACATTTAGTGTAAAATTGCACCTTGTAAAATGGAAGCAAGAAAATCTGTCACCGAAGAAGCACAAATTCAAAGTATTGTACAATAGTTGATGATTGTAACACTATTGGTATTTCTGATAAGGAATGTCATGAGGTAGTAGATCAAATTCTGCGCTCAAATACTGTCTTCAGGTTTTCATCGAGATTTTCTCAGGCAAATGAATCTAACAACAAAAATCCTTATCTGACATGCAGAATTATTCATATTGCGAATTATGTGCTGGCGCACTAGCTATTTTTTCTTCTCACGAGATTTAACCCATTGACGACGATGTGGGCCATAGGTAGCCCACACCTCTTGCAAAGTCATATTCTTTGTAGGTCTAGTATCTTTTCCACATAGTGATATTTTTTCCAACTTTCTGCACTCTTTGGACTTGTAGGCTCCGTCGTTCACGAGTAATGTTTATAGTTGTTTACAAAACAACCTTACATTTCGTAAATAACCACAAAACTCGTCTCAAAGCGCCGCCATGCATAATTAGTCGTCGTCGTTAATGGGTTAAACACCTTCGACTCTGTCATTCACACTTTGAAACGCTCTCTTATATACTTGCTTTGCTCCATTTGCAGAACTTTGAATCTTTTCGATTAATTTTGCAGGTAAATAAATCAAAAAGTATGGATCTGTTGCACAAAGGATGGTTTACTGAGTTTTCGCCGGATGACCTGGAGCGAATGAAGCAGGGTGGTTAGTTATTCAATTATAGCGGAGTGATTGCATAATCGCCGATAAAATATCAGAAATGCAATATCTTTGCTGTGCGAATCTTCAATTTTAGTAGTGTCTTCAATGAGCGCGGCTGCTCACCGCGCCGCTGTTATGTACGCGACATAGATTTTGTCTGCGTAATGATCATTTTAGGGCTAGCTAGTCGTGAGACTTGCCTTAAGTGCGATTGTTATTTCTGGGTCTGGAAAACCCCCGAACTTTCTAGCATTGTTTGCAAGTGCAATTAGAATAATTTTATCCCTACTTACAGTCGCAAAAATACATAGGTTTGCAAGGTCTAGTTTTTTATTTCTCCTTGAATTTTTAACAAGCATTGAGTTTTGAATAGTAGATTTCAGGTTCAGGCGACTCGAAACAATTGAAATCCGACGGAGTAGCAATGGGAGGTGCTTGGCCCGGTCAGGCTTTCTCTCTCAAGGTCAAGGAGGTGTTGTTCCACGAGAAGAGCGATTACCAAGATGTTCTTGTATTCAAAAGGTAAAGTAAACAATTATTTGGGTAAGCTAGACTGACCTATCAAAAACAAGATCATATACATATACAACTGTTAATAATTCCTGACATCTTTTCTTGTACCTGGCACCTCAAAGACTACCTTTAGGAGAAGAAATTGAAATTTTCAGCGAAACCTACGGTAACGTTCTTGTACTGGATGGAATCATTCAAGTAACGGAACGCGACGAATTCTCCTATCAAGAAATGCTCGCTCATCTGCCTATGTTTGCTCATCCTAATCCAAAAAAGGTAATATATATCTATGAGGTCGTTCCAAAAGTAATGTCCCTTTTTCCAAACGTATGCCACATCTCGTGGAACAAAGATGTGTAAGAAATTCTGGCAGCATTTGATGCATCATTTCATTCTCTTTCTAATGGTTATGAAGCTGTTGCAATACAGTCGATGAGCTTCCAGAAAAGAGTCAAAATCTGCGACCTATGCTTTTTGAAATGGCCAAGTTTCACAATTTTTCTAAATTTTTATAACAAACTCAGAAGGAGCTCAAGTAATGGATGGATGGAGAAAACCATACAGGAATCAGCACAACTTTTTTCTACTTTCCAGAGCTCGTCATAATTTTTGAATAGATTTTTTGATGGAACTATCGAATTTTAGCATTCTCGCCTCAGACACAAATGCATCAAACACCAATAAATCTTCGGATTTTGAAACTTACAAAGATGGATTATGGTTTGGCAACAATTTTACCAAACGAGCATTCACCGCTTCGGTTTAGCAACTTTCGAAAATTTCGGGTACATCTTGGCGTACCTTGGAAAAGTCGAATTATGATGATTTTATCACGGAAAACTTGATGAATCGGGAACAAAAAACAACCGCTAGAAAGAGGATAAAAAGCTGCATCGAACGACACCCGAGTCGCTTGCCGGTTGTTGTTCTGTGAGGTTTGACTTGACTAAATATGGAGTTTGATGGCATTGAGAAATTGATTGTAGAAACTCTGAGAAGCAAGCTAAAGAAAAGAAAAAATTACTCTGTGTTCTATGTTTGCTCTATCTACCTGCCACTTGTACTTTTTCGGAGATTAGGTACAAAAATTTAGAAAAATAGCCGAAATTGGCCGTGGCAAAAAGCATGAGTCGCAGATTTTGGTAATTTTTTGAGGGCTCATTAAACATCATGCAGTGAAATTGCAGCCGCTAGAAAGAGGATGAAATGATGCATCGAATGCTCCTAAAATCTTTTGAAAATGTTGATTCCACGAATAGTGGCGTTCATTCGAAAAAAGCGACATTACTTTCGGAACGACCTAATATTTCCCTCCATGTCTGAGCTAATTACGATCGTAGGTGCTTATCATTGGAGGAGGAGACGGTGGTATACTCCGAGAAGTCTTGAAACATCCAGAAGTTGAACATGTGACGATGTGCGAAATCGACAAAATGGTCATTGATGTCTCAAAAAAGTGAGTAAATATCTGGTGTTTGGGAAAATTCCATTTTTTGGCAGTATCCTTGCTATTTATTTATCCTATCTATTTCTGTTGCACCATTTTTCCTCGATGAGTAGCGCTTCTTTAGATTTTTGCCGCAAATGTCCTGCTGTTTCTCCGATCCCAAGTTGAATCTGTTCTGTGGTGACGGATTTGAATTCTTGAAGAACCATAAGGTAAATTTCCATTAGAAGCTAATCTTATATGCGATCAGATCAGCTGAATTATAGAATGAGTTTGATGTTATAATCACCGACTCTTCTGATCCGGTGGGACCAGCGGAAAGTCTGTTTGGTCAATCCTACTATGAGCTGCTTCGAGATTCGCTGAATGAAAATGGTGTGCTTTCATCTCAGGGTGAGTCTATCATCTGTTTTCACGAAATTTCCAAGAAAGAGTGAGAACGGGTTAATTGCTGTATCATTCAATTTCATCTTCTGATTATTGAGAATGAAATCTCGAATTTATAGTGTAGCGGATGTTATTTTCGTGAACAGAGGATTGAAAAATAAGGAAGTAATTTGGTAGAGTCACCATCAGTACATTTTTAGCAGATTGGTTAACAATTTTTTGGAAGGATATTATTTTTATACCAATTCAATGAGTTGCGAATGTATTTTTTATGTGATTTCCTTTTCATAAAAACATGAAATCCTTAACTTTCGGTATCGCAGCAAAAACCAAAAGCGCAAAAGACGTTTCAGGTAAATTTTGGACTTCAATGAGCTTTATAAGATTTTTTTCATACCGTAAAAATTCTTCTCCCTAGCCTCTTCATGTATCTTCATGCAGATCTGTCATGAATGGCAACTGAATTGTTACTTTTTCTATTTCTAGGTGTAGCTGTCTTGGGATGAAAATGTCGTTGATAATTTAATGTTTTCGAAACTAACGCAAACAAGTACTCAGCTGTGCAGAATGTGAAAAATCAAAGACCTTTGGCAGAAATCTTCTGACTCGGCAAGGATACTGGAAGCGATCCGAAAAAATTTTTTTCTTATAATTATTTGGACACTGCGATTGCTTCATATCAGTGGCGATCGTTTGGAAAATCTGGTTCGGCCACAGAGGGGGGTGGGGCGGCAGAATTTTCTCTCAGATGGGGCGTGGCCCTAACTACACTTACCAAATGATTTTTGGATGTTTTTCACCTATTTAGTACCCTTATAACTCTTGAACTTTTGAAAGAGGGGCGTGGTAGCTACGTCTCCACAATGTTATTTACAAAGCTAATTTATAAGTGAAAAATTATGATTAAGGCGAGTGCCCATGGTTGGATCTCGCACTGATTGGAAAAATCTTTCGTGAGTACTGTAGTCCAATATTTTCTGTTGTTCGGTATGCAGTCAGCTCGGTTCCAACTTACACGAGTGGCCTTATGGGATACGTCGTCTGCAGCAAATCTAAGGTGCTTATAAGGAAACAACGGGTTTTCTGGGCGATTGTAGATCTTTTAATGTGATGTTATAGATAGAATTAGTTATTGTGTGTCTATCCTTTCCTGCTTCATCTTTTCTATGGTTTCACATTTTCCGCTAACACTGTGTGTTTAGTGTTGTGGTGTGTTGTAGGTGAATGTGCATGGCTTCATCTCGGTTTGATTGCTCACATGGTCCGCTTCAATCGTACTTTATTCCCTAACGTAAAGTACGCTCAAGCGGCAGTTTCCACCTATCCTTCGGGCACAATGGGCTACCTCATCTGTTCAAAATCGGTTTGTCTTTCTTCTTTTCTTTCTGCTACTGACCTTCAGTTGCCTCAGCTATTCTACATTGATCGTGGTATTGTAAAAATAGTGACTGTGATTTGTGCAACGGCACAACAATACCCAAGTAAGCGGGAGCAACTGAGAATGAAAGCATTTGAAGTATCAGGATTAAAGATGACGTGTCTAATTTGTTTACTCTCTGCTCTTCTTGGGAATCATATTTTAGGTTGGTCCAAGAGTCCCGTAGCTCATTTCCAAAAAACCATAATTAACTTCTGTCACAATACTCTTACTTCGCATTGATACTTTTAAAAAGTGTAAATCATGTTTCTGTTCAGTCTTGACTTCTCTGCTAAGCTCTGGTTCCAGAGATAAAAGTGGAAAAACGAGATCACTTATGGTCCGTTGTTAAAAGCTGTGCTGTAAAAACAGTGTCACGAGTTTCTGACCTCCTCTTTTTGATCGAGCGAAGTCTGTGCTGATCGAGCTCTCTTTGAAAATATAATTTTTTGAGAAAAACGCCATAACATCATTTTCCATTCTTTGCTATTTTCTTGAAGATTATAACTTTTCAAGGAAGACACCGATTAGCACAAACTTTGCTTACAAAGTAATCCGGTCGGAGTTGTCTTTTTGATAGGTTGATAGGTCCTTTACCGCTTTGAAGAGTATTGAATGCTGATTCCAAATCTGTTTTCACTATCTGCCAAGCTCCTCTGGACGCCAGCTATGAGTGTCTTTGGAGTAAAAAATGAACGCAGAACTTAGGTAAAAATCAACCGTTACGGTCTTTGCTCAAGTAGAGAAGTGTTCATATTAGGCAGAAATTTAAGATAGGATCATTTGAGCAAGTCTGGACGAAGCTTGATCGAATTGCGCATTTAATTTCTCAATTCCAGAAAGCTCATAACTCGGCGTCCAAAGGCGTTTGGCAGATAATGAAGACAAATTTGATACCTTTTTTCATTGCTCTTCAAAGTCTTATAAAATTGTGGGCACTTAAAAAGTCTTCGACTAAACGGAAAACTCCCTTGTTAGTTAGAGAAAGGAGAACCTATTAAAGAGAACTTATGATACCGGCTGTCTCGGAATTAAATACATAGTTTTAAGTTTCTAAAGGCCTCGCCTCAAATCAACGAACCTCAAAAGGTTTCCTTACCAATTTTTATTTCTGTCACTAAAGCTTACTAGAGATTGATTGAGATACCGTTAGAAAATGAGTGATTTACCCTTTCTAACAAAATTGACGCCAAGCAAGAGCATTGTGAAAGGAAGAAGTTATAATTTTTGAAAATGATGCGACAGAACTTTTGGACCAACCTAGTATTTGGAAGGCTATTCTTGGATTATCCACTTGACTGGCTGTTGTGCAGTTGCACATTTCAAGGAAACCGCGCTAAACATACACTTAAACAAAACTCTAGATCAATCCGTAGCCCCTTCTAAGCATGAGTAGAGTAGATAGCATGTTTCATAGCAATCGACTACTTTCCTTAAATTCGCCTTAACTCACACGTTTAGAATATTGATGTCACTAAACCATCACGGGTTCTCACAGAAGATGATGTAAAGAAGATGAAATTACGGTTTTACAATTCCGAAGTACATTCCGCTGCCTTCGTTTTACCACAGTTCATTAAAGAGGTAATTTCTATTGCTGAATATGTTTTTGGACTAATTTGTCTCTTGCAGGAACTCGAAAAGAAGTGAGGCTTTGTTTAATGTAGATTTTGTTTTTTACAATAATTTTCTTATATTAATAATGAAGTTGATATTTGATATTCAACGTACACATACACATCACAGGAAGCAGATAAAGATCAATTCCTTTCACTGGGATCTTTATGCTAGGGAGTTGGAGGGGGCGCTGGGCTCGGGGGCGGGGAAGAAGGGAGGAGGGGGGGGGGCGAGGGAGGAGCAAAGTGGGAACAGAGTTTGTTCCATCAATAGATGAAAGTAATTACGGATCGAAACCTAATTCATAGGGATTTATCGCAGATTTCAGTATTCTGATAACTCATTTTGCCACTAGATGTGCAATTCTTTGATGCCTTCACTGATTAGAAGGAAAAATGATCTTAAAAAAGGTTGGCTCTGGAGAAGACTGTACAGGGTGTCCCACAAGTAAGTACACACTTTTTGATGGTTAATAACTCTCTTCCCATTGAGTCTTTTCCATAGCACCAAGTATAAATCAGTAGAGGAAGCTTCAACTCAAATTTATAGTATGGAGCGAATCGCCCATCGCCGTTCGTTACTGTAGGATTACGGTAGGAACTTCCAGCATACAGCGGCATTGTAAAATAGACCGTTTGAAGAAAAAGGTCCAAAAAATCTAGAAAGTTGTCAAGCAATGTCTTTAGACATGCTGACTTCATCAGACCTATTTAAGACTTTTGAATAATTTTAAATGGTCTAAAACATTAGAAAAACACCGGAAAAACGTTATGGTTTACTTGGCATAACTCATGAAAAAACCCTTAGGAAAAGTGCAAATTCCATACTGATGACTAGCGCTCAGTTTAGTCTAATGATAGAGTTTTCAGCTCATTGCGTATCTATTCTAGGACAAGGTGTAGCCATTGATGGCACAATATTCTCTTCAAGGTTCCTACCGTAATCCTACAGTAATGGAGGGCGGTGGGTGATTCGCTACATGCTGTAAGTCTATGTTTGAGCCTCCTTTACTGAATGGTACTTGAAGCTAAGGAAACGACTCGGTGAGAAGAGAGTTATTAACGATCAAGTGTGTACTCACTTTTGGGACACCCTGTATTAGAAGCTGGGACGCGATTTTTACAACAATAGGTTTCCTGATTCTGTATAGTAAAAGTATCATAGAACAATATTTATAGACATGAAATCCAGATCTATGGAGCTCCACAATATTAAGCTTTCTCTCCTGCATTTCCCATGGAGTTCTTGCGACATTTGCTGTAGCACAAATTCTTGAGCTATTCAAAACCAAGGAACAGCTCAAATCTCAATTGCAAGCATTTGAACAACTGTCAGAAAGCTAAAAGCTAGAGTTAAGTGTCATCCCTTCCCATGAATGTTCCTTCGTAGGTGGTCCATTTCAACGCAAAACATGTATTCTGATGCAAATCCATGATGATGCTGCCAACTAATTGGTCGGCTTTGTTGTTCACGTACGAAGATTCTTCGCGACATAGTAATTCTGATCGCAGCGACTGAAAGATGTAGCTGTAATGACGTCTGCTCTTTGTCTGAGCATTGGATGCAAATTGTGCTCATCTCTTTTCAACATACATATAACCCTAATGAGAGGCGATGAACTGTCAAAAGCAATCTATGATGATGTCTTATACGAATTCTTGGAAAAAAAAACCTAAATTTCATACTAAAAATGCGCTAGAAATAACAGTTAGGTGATCATCGGTAATAATTGGTGGAGTAAAGTGTCCTTGAAGGCAGTGGCTCGGCGAATTTTCGAACTGTGGTTTTTTCGCTTATTTGGGGTAATTCGATGCGATGCGCCCGAAAATGGCGAAAATCAGCACTTCCACAGGCCTCTCATTTTGGATTTGGACGAGTGGAACCGCTACGGTCATGGTTAGAAATGTAGAGTCGTTTTGGGACCCTCACGTCTATAGCATTGCGGCAAGCCGCCTGTGACGGTATGACGGATATAGTAAGCTCGTCCGAGCGCGTGTAATAACGGCTTGCGCGCATGAAGTTAGGGGCAATTTTCTAGCCGGGGACAGCATGCTGTGCGCTCGGACCTGCTCTGTTCTCATGTTTGGGGTGCGAGCAAACTTCCATGAAAAAATTTCGAGATGTTTGATTTTGCCGAGCCACTGCCTTTAATTTCAAGAATTTAGGCCATTCAATCACATTTTTATGTATATTCAAGCAAAAACAGAATCTGGCGGCAATTTTCTGCATAAGCCAGACTAGCGACATAAGAAACTCGACAAACATGCTCGATAGTGAATGATATTTGTAATTTGCACCGAAATAGTTGAATACTAGGTTGCGGTGCTTGGTTGTGCTCGACGTTAAGTGACTGATTTATTGGCACAAGTAAATGGCACAACTATAGTTAAACAGAAGTACATACATAACTCTAGTCAAAAGAAGCGTGCTGAGGTCTAAAATTTTATCCTGAGAGCAGACTCGCTGGAATTGCATAATTTACGGCAATGTTGTTGTTTCTGATCCAAGCCGCTAGTATTTTTTCACAGAGAGGTGAATACAGTCTGATGATTGATGATCTAATGGTTGAGCTTTGAATAACAGTTGACCACGCTGAGAACACAAAAGCTGAAAAAAATGTTCATCTGTAACTTTATCTTCTCGGAAAATGACACACCAGTCTGTACTACATTGCATATTAATTTTTATGGTTTTTGGGTGCACATATGTTTGCGACAGAATTTGGAAAAATGGATAGACTATTCAAAATATTGATATATAGGGCATGGTTCAAACCGCACCAATCACAAAATCGACGCAAAATCACTCTCAAAAAATATTAAGCACTTACTGAGATCAATCACGCATTGTTTGATACATGTGGCAATGAAGAAATAATCCCGAGACATCGTACGAAAATTGATGGCAATATATAAAGGTACCTGGAGAGAAGAATAACAGCTAAAGTATTGCTAAGACACAGAACCTCACCTCTATCAAAGCCAATGTCAATGTGGTTAGAGACGAGGACAGGCCTACCACGAGTAGAACTCTGTCTATTTTGGTGCAATGGATTGTGCTTCTCCTATGGGTAAGCTTGAAGTAAGTAATTGTAGAACAGACCAGTATGGTAACTGCGCAGATCAGCGCCACGCAAACAGTTGTGAACGTTACCGAGCTCTGAATTATTGCATAGCAATGTCAGCACATGCTGGATGCAAAGATTGTGACTGATCAGTTGTTAATAAACCCGCATCGTTTGTCAGCTTTGTTGGAGAGCGGGATATATCCTCATTTCATTCAGTCTTTCATCTTCGGAATTACCGTCCAATATGCCCGCTGAGTGTGCTGTACAAGCTTTTTACAAAAATTATCATCGCTCACTTATCTAGGTCACTGGATGAAGCCCAGCTCCAAGAAGAAGCTGGATTCCGCAAAGAATACATCATGGACCACATTCAGGTTTCGAGTGTATTATGTTTAGACCAAAACCTCTTTGTTATAGCTTTGGTAGATTGCGCTTAGAGCAAAAGATTTTGCTTCAGAATGTCCAAGATAGCTGATCAATCACACTTTGTTGGGATCACAAAACATCCCAGATAGTATCTGGGTTTGTGCCTAATAACAGCAAACTCTCAAGCAATGACTTGGCTTGATAGATATAGTGCTAAATATTCTTGAGATCTAATTTTATGACGTGGCTCTTAGCTCACAATTGAATATCTCTGGGTGATACGAAAATTACCAGATACAAGTACGAAGGTAGTCCAAGTCTGTTGTTTGCGAAATTACTAGCTTTCGGACTTTGCTGTGTTATAGAATTATTATCGAATCGTGATGGTCACTATCTCCATGTAGAGTATTTATGAGCGTTCCATCCGAAAAAAATGTTGAGAAGTAAGCGATGGACAAATGGAGCGAAATCATAGTACATTATATCATGAAACTTGGTGTTTATCAAAAAAGGTATAAGAAACGCCTCTATTTTGTACGTACTCCCTTTCGTGTAGAATCTACATATGCGCAGAGCGTGGACCTTGCGTGCGGAAATCTCGATCAGGCAAGTTTGAATGCGCAAGCGCAACATGGCGCGAAGATCTGGCGCGTTGAGTGCGCCTACGGAAAAGGGAGGACGTGATTGACACCGACTGCACAGCGTTTATCAGCTATTTAGCGCCAAATTTGTAGTGAACCTAACGAGCAAGGGATCATTGGGAGTATTTTAAGAACAACACCACGCACATGATTTTAGAATGCTTCAAAGAGGGGTCCAGCAATTTCTGAGCATTGTTAGAAATTGCTGAACTACTCTCCAAAGTTCTTACAATAAGACCAGTGCGACATCGTCTTTTACAAAACCTACTAACAAACTGGCTTACTCAAAAAAAGTGAAATCAAACTCTTGCATGCTCAAACATTTGACATTCACTTTCTTGAATTCCACAAAATTCATTGGCATTTTTAAGGCTCTTAAGGCTTTTCTATTCCCATCAAGGCTTTACAAACAATTATCATTGGTAGTTCCGAAGAAGGAAACGTTTAGGAAAAGTAAAGATAGACACTTACAAGTGGTTCTGGTAGAATCTTGATATACCCTATAGTCAAACCTCCAAGTGCGTAGGGTGTGATAAACGATTTTGTGGCTAGTAAGTACCACGTCGATAACAGTGGTAGGATGCATATAAAGATTAAAAATTTTCTCCAGTGGATCTCCCAGATCTGGAAAGATGAAGAAGTTAGTTTAAGAGAAAAAAATGCGAGTTGAATATTAGCAGTTAACCAAAACTATCTGATCTTTTTTTTAAAAGTATTTTGGGGTATTTGGCTGTACGTGTTATCTGTCTATCTAAATCAATACGAAGAAAAGTCACCTCTTTATAAACTATGGGAAGCAATACAGCTGTCATTCTGTTGACAGAAAACAATGTTGCAGTGTAGAACTGTGCATGTCTGGAGTAAGTCATTATAAACTGCACAACAGAAAGTGTATAGGATGGAGTTCCCCAAGAAGATGATAGCCCTCCGCAAAAATTGCTGCTTCCAAGATAACGAGTAGACCACATGTCAAAGCACCACATCACCACCATCTGCGAAATTATTTTTACTCTTTGAGCCAATAAGTAGTTTCACTTACTATCACTGAATAAAAAGCGTAGATCCTGAGAAATGCCAGGCTCAGAAATGGATTGCTGCTTTTCATAATAATTACAATAGCAATGTTAATGTAAAGAAATGCAGTGGGAATGCCATAAATTAGTGGAATGTAGAAAAACAGCTCTTTTGCCAATTCATATGTCCTGATTTCACAGTCTTGCACTTCCAGCGCTACCGTTTCAGTGATATGATTTTCATGTTCCATGGGAATATGTAAAGTCTGGAAACTAAGCATAAGTTTTGCAATATGTAGAGCTATTGTCTGCTACACCACGTGCGCATAAACTAGTTGAATTTTGAGGACAATTTAAAATATTTCATGCATTTTCCGAAAACTAGAATTTTGGGAAATTTGTGGGTTAAAGCCAAAATGAAGCCATTGGCAACCTGGATCATGCACGATAATCCGGAAACATGTGGTAGAGGTTAACTCGGCTTAGTAAAAAGGAAATCAAATTTAAAGGCAAGTTGAGATTGAGCAGCCTTACAAAGTCGAGTGAGTCTCAGTACGCAAAGGCTGCAGGAGACAACCGTCAATGACTAAGGAGATAGAACCTCAAAATTCGCTGAGACTTCACATAGTGGGGTTATTTGACCTGCCAAACACGATTAGCATATCATTTGTTGGATTAACGCCCCTTTTCTTGTTTAGGGTGAGACCCTACGCCGTGAACCTACAGTAACCTTGCAAAAAACCCTTATCATGCAACTTCTATCGTTTTCGTGATCGGCATGTCGAATAATCCCCAATGCCAAGTTACAGCCAAACTTGTAGAATTTTTTACATTATTTCCTTATACCGTATACCTATCGTAACCCTCACTACGACGTTAAAATTTAGCGGAACAGCAGATGCGCTTGCAGCTTATGTCAAGGCTTACATAATGGTAATTTGATTGCGCCATGTTGGAAGAGAGGAAAGTTATTGAAAAAGTTGCAGAACTTAGTCTTCAACCTAATATATGCCTAAAAACAACTCACATGCGAAGACACAAACGTCGAAAAAAAACCAAAATAAGTCAAATTATGTTTGAGCTTCCCACATACAATGAATGCATCGAATGTTTTGCGCCTCTCGCTCCTCCTTTGCATGTTCACAACAAGAGTGCGTATTCGAAGAAAATTGCATTTTCCGAATATAAAAGTATTAGGAATTACTTCCGGTATACATTCGAGAGTAACTTATGCGACAGCTGACCGATAGATTTTATTGATTCTGCTTTCAACTAATGAAGTCGCTTGTATTGTGTCCTTGCGATATCGCAACCTTGCTCTCGTCAGTATAATTGATCTTCCCCTTCCTATTTGTACGACCAATGGTAGTCTTACAAGGAAAAGTTCCCTCGGTCGAAGTGGGATTACCACACGCGATGCATATCAGTGTGATGATCTTGGAGCACTTATACCAAATCCTTGTTCCCTAGCTGCTCAATGATCTTCTGGAAAAAGTTACGAACGATGGTTTCCCCACGATGACCATGGATCGTTTAAGTTAGCAGCGCCGAGAAAAATCCGTTGTGAAGGGATGGTCGAGTGGATAGCTGCGGAGACTATGGAGGAAGTGGTAAAGAATTCGGTATGCTTATGTTGTAAACATTCTTGCATTTTGCAGATTATCTGATATGTATCCTTAAAGGGCCTCTAAGGCAGTGAAGTACCCGGCACCCGTTGGATAGTTTGCGAAAATGCAAGAATGTTTGGGACATAAGCATTCCAAACTTTTTACCACTTCCTCTATAGTCTCCGCAGCTATCTACTAGGCCATCCTTCCACAAATGGCATTTTTCGGCGCCGCCCTGGAGGAAACCATCGCTTATAACTTTTATCAGAAGATCATTGAGCAGCTAAATAACACAGATTTGGTGTTAGTGCCCCAAGATCAACTCAATGATATACATCACATATGGAAACCCCACTTCGACCGAGGGTCCTTCCCTTGTTAGAAATTAGCTCCAGAAGTTTTAAAGAAAGGCGATAAGATGGGCCAAGCTCTCCAAACAATCAGCTCTATTAGGATGCTTTTGAATTTCGCACGTGCTGCAGACCTAAAAGTTCAGAAAGGACGGTCACAATTGTGGAGTTTTTTGTATCAAGTCGAATGATCCTGTATATCTTCAAAATCTTAAAATCGTTTACGATCGAAAACGAAGTTTGCATGATTGTATAACAAATGCAAATCCTTTAAATTTTTTTCACGACTCGTTCTCAGGAGAAGAACGAGGGAGGGGAAGAACGGGAACTGTGTGACTCATAGCAACTTTTCATTGTATTTCCGAATGTGCACCGTGCTCTGAATGGAAAATGAAAGTGAAAAAACAGGGAAGCATTGGCATGCTCTTTAAAAATATCAGTTTTCAAGATTCTTGATAGTTCACACTAAAGTAGAGGGTGGAAGTTCGAAAAAAAACTAATCAGATTTGTCAAGATTACGACGGTTTATAAAACCAAAGTTTCAACAGCCTCTTTCTCGACCGTGGACTTTGTAGTTAATCGATAGAGAGTACTGTAATCAGATTTACAATGTGGTGAGGTGGTAGCCATGTTCCCTTAAGTCGTTTAAAGGTCATTAATACCTCACATTCAAACATAAGCCAAGAACTTTGAAACTTCTTATCTAGTCTATTGATTAAGCGATTTAGTGCGTTGAGGAAAAGATACGCAAATTTATATTTCATTCCAAACTGAGGTGAGGTATTTTTGATTGTTACCTTGACTGTTCAATTCTTATTCCAGGCACTGTTAAGAGATTAACGCCGGTGCTTAGGAATCTCCTACCTCATAATTCTGTATAGCTGATAATTTTAATTCACATATTTATTGGACTTTGAAGCGAAATACGTAATGAGAAAATCGTTAATCTCTATATTTTCGCACACCAGCACAACGAGGTGCGAGGCTACCGTGAAAACCTTTTGACAAGATATTCTAACTCACTCACTCAAATTAAGAGGAAAGGGTTATTGAAATTATCAACAACGCATGCTGCTGGACGGCGCAAGAATCTAGTAAAAGTAATTGCGATGTCCTTTCTCTTGAATGCAGAGTAATTGTTTTTTGATTCCGGTGGAGTACACATAATTTTGTCTTTAAAGCAAATTAATGTAGCCAAATTTGATAGTTTGCAATAAGGACTTTTAATCACTCGTACGTACAGAATTGAGATCAAGAATCAAAATGCACGAATTGGGCTTGAAAAATGAAAGCGAACAAAAGCGGAATGAAGCGAGTAGATTTATTTCGCTTTAGTTTCAGCGTAGACACCATAAACATGAAACATCTGGTCTAGAAAAAAGTTTGTCAAAACACACAAGGGCTAGGAAGAGCGTAGTGTAGACTATCGTGGAAAAGTGTTGCAATCAAAAGTTGTAGCACGTCTTTTTCTGCAAAATAATAGTGGAGAGTAAGAGAATGGTTGGTTTGAAAGCACAGGTAACGACATGACTCCAAACGTGGAGTGTATATGAGCAGTGGAAAGAAAACTATGAAAATGTATAAAAAAGCTTATATGAGAGAACGTGGGAAATCATGCTCCCACAACGAGCGCGGGAAAGTTCCGTTGTTTACGGAGGTTCCAGTACGGAGGTTATATTATTAATTAAGCCTGGAAAAGTGATTGAGTGATTAATGAGCAAGCACGCGAGAAAGATGTAGAGCGGTGTTGCGCGCTTTCTGAACATTACCCATCACCCGCCACTCCCATTGATACAAATGCTACGTTAATAAGCGCTAACAAAATACAGTCAAGCAGTGGCGTACCCAGGATTTCGGCTCGGGGGGGGGGGGGCGCGACAAAAATTTTTTTCTAAAGAAGGTGCGTGGCGTTAGCCACGCACTCCGAAAAAATTTTTGGGGTACTTCTCAAAACTTTTGCGGGTCCCCGACCCCTAAAATCTGGAAAAAGGGGGCGTGGCGTTAGCCACGCCCCCGAAAAAATTTTTTTTACAAGGCTAATTTGATTTTTTAAAAATTTTTAAAAATTATTTTAATTATTTACAAAAATAAACAAGTCACTTGCACATTTTTATAACCCATATAAGTAACTTTCAAAAATTTCGCGACCCATTCTCGGGGGGGGGGGGGCGCGCGCCCCCCCGCCCCCCCCCCTCGGTACGCCACTGCAGTCAAGGGTACCATCAAAGTATGAAAACATCAAACCCGAACCGTCACTCCAACCGTTTGAACAGATTGACATACACCAGTGAGAAATTTGCCTATAATATTTTGTATTTATCTAGTGTAATTGATCTATCTTGCTTACAGAATCAAGCTGTGTGATACGAACGAATTGAGAAAATTATGTGAACAACTCGGTCTTGCATCACACGCATCCTGGGCATGCTCCATTTTTTCTTCTCATATTTTCCACCTTCATCACAAAAAATTTGTTAACTCACTATAGGCATAAATCAGGTCTATTCTGAAGTGCTTTTCAAGAATAAAGTTTCAGGTGGTGAATTTGCGTAAAGTTTAAAATCTCATAAGGATTGAGTGTTTCTGAATCATCCCTTCAAGAATAGTTAGCGAATTGACTCAGAGTTCAAGAATCAGGCTTTGAAAAAAAAACCTATCATCTCTTTTGCATGACAATTAACACTTCGACTCTTACAAATCTTGAGCAAGGTGGATAATCCTGAACGTTGCACACCTTAAAAAGTAAGACTTCTCTATCAAAATATTTCTTTCTAGGCAGGCCCAAGTGAACCGCAGAAACCTTCCCAAAAAGCACGTGAAAAATCGGTCCCGAAAATCGAATCGAGCATGCTGATCACCCCCACGGGGGTGATCAGCATGCTCGATTACCCCCCTGTGCCAAATCCCAGCCCCGTAGCTCAAATTTTGCAAAAAACCGATAAAATCGACATCAATCGATAACGAAAAGTGGACTGTGACACCCGCCGGGGCCCGAAGTGTATGTGTGCCAAGTTTGGTTCGGATCGGTTAAGAAATGGAATTTTCTATTCGGAACATACGGCGGAGCCGGGTATGCCAGCTAGTCTTATATATAAACCTGAATGTCTGCTTGTATGTCTGTATGCCTGTCGGTCTGTATGTGTGTACGTATGTTCCGAAGAGAAAATTCTATTTCTGAACCGATCCGGACCAAACTTAGTACACATACACTTCGGGGCGGGGCGGGTGTCGTAAGCTACTTTTCGTCATCGATCGATATCGATTTTATTGGTTTTGTCGATTTTTTTCAAAGTTGAGCTACGGGGCTGGCAGTTGGCACAGGGGGGTAACCGAGCATGTTGATTACGAATACGATATTAGTTTTTCAATCCATTACTTTTATCAAGTTCACAGATTTCTTTTGCAAAGTTTGAGCTACAGGGCTAGGAGTTGGCAAGGGGGGTAATCGAGCATGCTGATTACGATTACAATATTATAGTTTTTGATACCCGTTACTTTTTTCGATTTTATCAATTTTTTTGTAAATTTTGAGCTACGGAGCTGATAATTTGCATAGGGATAAGTGAGCATGCTGATAACTAACACAGCGGGAATTGGAGCTGGTACGTAGGAATGGGCACAGGGAAAGGTCGTACTGAGATAGGGATGGGTGCTTTATCATAGTGTTTTGACAGGGCTGAGCGGAGCCGGGTAAGCCAGCTAAAATGCAATAAATCTGGGTGCAAAACAAATTTATGTTTGGATCATGAAAAAAAATGTGAACTGAACGTTTTGTCACCCTTAAAGTGGCATTAGAATGCCGACAGTCACTCTAATTTGGTCCAAAGTTGAGCACGCTCTTCATTGACATAAGTTTTTAGATGATGCCACATTACCTCTACCACTCATTTATACTCCACGTTTGGAGCCGCATTACCTGTGCGTTGCAAAAAAGCTATTACTTTATTTTTTACTAATAATTTGTGCCACAACCCTAAAGCATTATTTTTTTATTCCTTTTTTCAATTTTCTCTTTTCGAGTAACTCTTTCGTGGTATAATGCAGACTCACAATTTGTGAATTATGAATCATTAGCTCGGATTAGTGCTAGCTTAGCCATCATGAAACTATAGGCCAAATTTCTTGTTAATTCCTTAGTAGTTCACCTTAGAAATATACAGGCGGGCAAAGACGTAGAAGTGGCAGTCATTATGTGCTCAACCGCTCAAAGTGGCAATTTTCTTCGATTAAGTAGTTTGAAGGCAACTCGACCAACATCTATTAGAACGCGAAAGTGTTTGCTGTAGCAAGGTTGAAGAAATGAATGCAATTTTATTGATTGGTGAAAAAACTCATGGCATTTATAAATCATGTTCCCGTAAATAGTCTTTTATTAACATGCCTAAGTAAAGATACAAGAGATCATTATGGCAGACACAATTCCTTCCACTTCGCCATTTGCTTCCTTTAGCTATGGCTTCGACCTGATGAGCTCCTTATTAGAAGCGATTTATAATTGCATCCATAGAAGAATCCATTTGCTTGTCGGCTGAAGCCTATTTTGTGAGCAGCCTCGTAGTAGTAGTATTAGTAGTAGCAAGCGATATTCCTGAAGTCCAGAAATCAGTGCGTCTAATAATAATCCCGTGTGAAAATACCTTGTGCTTTGACGCGACTTGGAAAGTACAATTTGATGATTGTTGATCTGATAGTTGAGCATTGATAGATAGTAGACCATGCTGAGAAGACAAAGGCTGCAATGGATGCAACTTATGAAAATGCTGTAAAGGAGACCGGAATTCATTGTTATGCGAGTTTTTCTATATGAATTGTGTGGGAAGAGGAAGAGACGAAACATCCACCATTTTTCAGCAAAAATAAGGCAAAAGCAATTTCCAAGTTTCCTCTTTCTTAAACCTCGGCATTGTTAGTAAAGTGTGTTAGTATGTGAGTAAGCCTTCCGAGGTTAGTAGAACTGGTGGAGGATTTTGATGGGTTAGACACATAATCCAAATCTCCTAACACTTTAGGCCTCTGAAGAAAACGATTTGTTCGAAACGTTAGGCCGCCACTAAGAAAGACTACTAACCTCGGAAGGCTTATTCACATACTAACACAGGCAAAAGCGTTTGTTGTATGACCTGTACCAAGAAAAATATGACGTTTAGTTGATGCGAAATTTTCTCGTGTAAAAGGATTCAATATCTCAGGTACTGAACCTCATAACATCTTAAGTGCTGAACGTCATTTCGCTGTACCTAAAAGCTAGAAAAAAGGTTTGCCCTTTTCGAAAGTTACGCGACGCAAATTTCTGTTGGCTAGCCTTTGGGAACCAAACTTGTAAATGGCATCTGAAATTTCGCAGCAGTATTTGTGCGCTGGCTGGCTTTGATCTTACATGAAAACGCAAAAACATAAAAATTTGTGAAAGTGTCATTTTCGATGAAAATTTTAGTCCTGCACTTTGTGTGTTTTTCTGTTTGTCCTTTATGAGGAAGATACGGTAATTTGCTCTGCAGAGAAGCTTTTCTCAGAATTTTTTGCATTTCGAATCTTGTTCTTCATGCAAAGTTTGAACCTGTGCTTGATTCTAACTTTTTCCGAATTAGAATGTAAAAAGCCATCGACTTTTTGAACGCAAAAACTTCTACATTGACGTCATGATTATCTAAAGAATTTCCATAATGTGCTTGAGAAAGTTTCTAAAAAGTGTAATACTGGCTACTAGAACAAATATGCAGAGTTAAATTATGGAAATCAAAAATATAACTCCGCACCGAAATTTTTCCTTCCTTTCTATCACAAGCGTTACCTGAATGAAAATCAATGTGCGTTGCTCCCATAATCACATTCCTAGAATTCTCGAGAGTGTTGATTTCAGGCTGCGCGCGGACACCCATTTCTACTCTTTCCCAGCCTCGCCGAGCAAGAATAGCAAAGCCGTGTAAATAATGGATTACTCGTGAGAAATGTGATTCCAGGGTTCACCACATATTATTTCGCCGGCGAGGAATTATTTCGAATTATATTGTTAAGTAACAGTTGCTTAATCTTTGCCGGTGCACAGCAGAATATGGCCATAAAACCAATGAGAGTTAATCTTCTTCATGAATTAAAAACTCTAGAAACTATCGTTTCTACAGCTGCCTTATTTCTCTTCTATTATATATCTAGATCAATTCTTTGCTTTTCGTGTGTGCGAAAGTGATCTACTAAAGCTCTATAGAAATTAGGCACTGGCGATTAAACAGAGAGCAAAAAACTACAGTTTAAGATAAATCTGCGTAAATATAAAAAATGTAACCACTAAATCAGCGAGGATAATGCAAAAAATAAATTACTTACTAAGATCAATAACACATTGCTTTATACATGTAGCAATGAAAAAATGGTCTCGAGATAAGGTACCAAAATTTATGGTGATATACAACGGCACCTGAACAAAAGTTTATTCAGGAAAAGTGTTATAACAATACATTAGCTTGCTTACCTCAACCAATGCGAGTGTAAAAGTCGTGAGAGATGATGTTAAGCCGACCACGAGCAAGACCCTGTCCACTTTAGTGCAGCGAAATCTGTTCCTTCTACAAGTGAGTTTGAAGTACGTGATTGCAGAACATATAAGAATAGTGAATGCGCATATCAGTGCCACAAATAAAGTTGTGAACGTCACTGAACTCTAAAATATCAAATTAATGTTGATATGGTATTCATAGGAAAAATATCATCATCTAAATTGGGTAAGTGGAGGAATGAGCGGTAATGATTGTCACTGAACCCCAAGCGCGAGTAGCGTACTGTAGCATTACGGCCCTTAGCTGATTGATAGATCAATTTTTACACTTACATCTGCTTTATTTTGCTATTTGTCAAGATTCGCAGATTTTATTTACAGATGGGCACAAATGAACGCATTTTCAGTATTCTTTGATGTTCTTGGGACAATTCAAATTTCCAACAAGATATTCATGACCGTCCCATGAGTTGCTCTATCTTATCAATTGAAACGGATTCAAATACAAGGAGGTTGAAGGTCAAGAACCCGTGGAAACGCAACTATCAGCATTTTGTTTATTTCAATCAAATTTCCGCCAAAAGCGGTAAAACTTGCAAGTCGTAGCTTCAGACACTTGGAAGGCCGGAGCACTTCGTCTGGTATTCTTAAAAGACTCTCTCAACTCTAAACTGTTCAAAGCACTGTCCACCCAGATCCTCGACTTCCACGTTTTGGTCGTTTGGGGGCCTTCTTATGTCCCAGGTTCTGAGTTTGAATTTGATTAGCGAAAATCGTGACAATTCCCGTTCCCGGGAACCCGCAGTCCGGTTCTTGAGGTGATTGGATGGGCGCGTACAGATGGGCGCGTATTACCGGAGGGGGCAGTGCCGATCTGAGGTCCTCATGTCTATTCGCTACTCCGAAGCGATTAATAGCTTCCAGAGCGCCATTCTGCGCTGCGAATTGTAAGCTGTATCGTAAGCTGCCAAAAGCTCAAGACCGCTAGCTTAAGGTGGACAGTACCTTCAAACACTTGACCTTTCCCTTCAGATTCATGCGATAAGGTATGCATGGAATGATGGAATTTCAGTCTTTAACCAATCAAGCAATGGATTGATGTTGAAAGATTTGGTAAAAGAATTATCAAAAAGGAGTAATGCAAAACAAGAACTTTACTATGACATGACTTTTAATCGAGAATTCTTGAATAATTGAAGAAAATCTGGGTTAGTTTTTCAATGTCGAATTCGACGAAAATATAGGAAAAATAAGTAGAATAAGTCATGTTTATTATGTGAAATGTTTACTTTCATATGTCCTGTTTATTATGGCCATTGAAAGAGGTAGTCTGAACGTTCAAAATCAAAAGTAAAAATGCTGCCCACCAATGGTTCCGGTAAAATCTTCATGTATCCTATCGTCAGGCCTCCAGCTATATAAGGAGCAATATAAGAATGCGTTGGTAATAAATACCAAGTCGATAACAATGGTAAACAGAATATTATAGCTACGAATTTTTTCCAGTGATATTCCCAAATCTGGAAAAAAGGGCCGTGAATGTATCTTCTGCAATATGCACAGCTTCATAACTAATATTACAAGATTTCTATTCTTGCCGTTCCAACTTCGACCTTCAAATTTTAGCAAAAAATTGTATTACCTCATTATATGCTACGGGAACTAAAACAGCTGTCATTCTATTGATAGAGAGTACGGTAGCAGCATAGAATTGTGCATGTCTAGAGTAGGTCATTATAAACTGCACAATGGAAATCTCCCAGGACGGAGTTCCCCAAGAGAATAGCAGTTCTTTACAAAAATATCCAATTCCTAGGAAGCGAGTGGTTGACATATCAAAGAACCACATCACAACCACCTGCAAAGAAATTCAATTTTTCACAATTTTCAAAATCTATCCAGATTCTAAACTTACTATTAAGGCATAAACGGCATAGATCCTGAGAAATGCTAATCTCAGAAATGGATTGCTGCTCTTCATAATAATAACAATGGCAATGTTGACATAGAGAAACACAGTAGGAATACCGTAGATCAGAGGTATATAGAAGAAAAGTTCTTTCCCTAATTTGTACTCGGCAACTTCACATTTTTGCATATTCTCATTCATGGAAACAGTTGGTCCACCTTTGTAGCCCATAAGGGTAGCTTCTATCCAGAAAAATAATTGGTTCGAAGAGTAACGCAAGTCTAATCTTTGAAGCAGAATGAATGACATTTGGTGCCACCCATGTCATGCTCAATTTCGCTCCTCCTCTCCTCCTCGTTCCCATAGACTGCGCAAACCAGAAATCACGCATAATCCTCGCACGTGCGTGAAACATTCATAAGAATGCCGTGTCCACTGCTCTATTTGCACAAGAGCTGCGGATCTGCTTTACGGTGCGGATTTACTCGAAGGGTTTCCCAACAATATTTGGCAAAATGAACTCATTTGCGTTTTCTGGGAATTCGTGTTTAACAAGCCAAATCGAAACGATCCAGCTAAAGCTTGGCTTGATTACTCCATTATGAGCAAGCACATAAAATCTCCGTTTATTTGTTTATTTAGGTCACCTAAAGTGCTCCAATTAGCAAGGAGCGGTTATTAACAAAAACAAAACATCAACATAGCACGGTTAATTACATTTTGAAGATCTAAAAATGTACCAGTCATTGTATTGGTAAGAAGCTGAACAGAAAGCAGGCAATACAACAAACACTCTATTGTGCATCTTATTGTCTTTCAAAAATCAAAACCCAGCTTCATTTGAAGGACCAGCGAGCCTACGGACGGAAGTTGGCTGGTTATATGTAGCCCCAAAGAATGAAGTAGAACATATTCGAAAGTACAATAATAACAGAAGAAAAGGGAATTTGGCAAAGCATCTACTTGTGATCTTGTTACAGAAAAGCTTTATATAATAGGGCGTAGGAGGCATGCCAATGAGAGAAAAAATGAATGTTTCGGTCTGCAACTGCAAGAGAGAACACTCCAGCAATATCTCCAACTTCTAACAGCTGTAGCACATCTACTTTCTTCATTACAGTTCTAAGTTGAGCCATCGAGTTCAAAGACAAGAAGGAAGACGGCAATCTGTTAAAGGCAGTGTCTCACCAAAATTTAGTTGCCGAGATCTTTGCATTCTGCAAGCCTGTCGGACCTTGTCTAGCACTGTATGGGCCCCCTGCATGAAGTTCCCAAAAACCTCGTTTTCTGGAGGCACTGCGGAAGCAACGTGGACGAGTTGTACCTTCCAACTTTAGGCTCAGCCCACAGTGGCAGCAACAGAGGGGAGGTGGATGCCAAGTGGAGGGACATGTTCAAACGCGTAAGGGGGAGACGAAGGAGTCGTCCGCGCGTACCAAGTCGCTCTCCGCGTACCGCTTTGAGCGAATTGTTCTCAGCGTGGAGAGAGTCAAATTGAGTGGGAGTTATTGCAATGGCCTATTTAGAGGTTCCTATGATAGAATTGAAGATCTGCGCGATCTCAACTTTGGTGAGACACTGCCTTTGAGGACTGAAGCTGTCCGACCTTCCAAACGTAGAAATCCTTGAGTTTAAAGAGGCTGTACGTTCGGTGATAAGTCGAAAGACCCAAAAATTTATTATCATAGCAATGAAATTTTGATGTGATATGCAAGTATTATCTGCTTAACTTCCGCGTACAAATTTCCTTGCGCAAATATCACTGAGTTCAGCGATCAGAGTGGATCAATTCATTCGAAAATGGAAGTTGTCGCTTTTGAGTCAGCACTCCTTGCGCGCTTCATTTAAAGGTATAAACTGCAGTCGCAAGATAGTCATTGAGTCGGAAGGTAAATTCGCGCAAGCCTTTCTCTTCACTGTGATATTGAATCATCTTTCATGTCATTCCTATACATATATCCAAAAATTGCCCCTCTGTTTGGAAATCTCTTGCATCGATGTTTTCAGTCAAACTTTAGGTGACATTCTGTATTACCGGCTTTAACTTACAAGGAATTCATGTTTAGTCGTGGCCTTCTTAGATAGGATGTACACCATTGAAGGGCACAAAATGCTGATTCCAAAACTGCCTTCCTTATCTGCAGAACGTTCATGGGTTGTTTCAGACTACCGCACTGACCGCAGCAGACTGCAGCTGACCGCACCGACCGCACCGGTCGTTGCCTCCTTTCGCAAGAGAAAAAACAACTACGATTATCAAAACACGTGTTTTACGCCAAAGAAGAACATAACCTCTATTCACAATTCTTTTCATTCAAATTTTAGCAGTAGTTTATCCTTGGTATGTTCGTATTTGTTCTAATTCTCCTATTATTGCATATATCTGTTTTGTAACATCTAGCCCGTGTTGTCTTTTGCTTTTAAATATATATTGTTGTTGTTTGTTTGAGCCAGAACTATTTATCCTCTCCACCTTTAGGCTTCAGCCGCTGCGACCGCTGCAGTGAGTGCGCTCAGCTGCAGTCTGCCGCAGTCTGCTGCAGTCAGCTGCAGTCTGCTGCAGATTGTATAAAAGTAATCGATAATTCTGAAAACTAATATTGTATTCGTAATCAGCATGCTCGATTGTCCCCCTATGCCAACTCCCAGCCCTGTAGCTCAAACTTTGCAAAAAATCGATAAATCGATAAGAGTAATCGATAATTCTGAAAACTAATATTGCAATCGGAATCGCCATGCTCACCTACCCCCTTGTGCCAACTCCCAGAAAGGTGAACTCTGCAAAATATCGATAAAAATCGATAAAATCGATATCGATCGATAACGAAAAGTAGCCTATGACACGCTCCCAGTCCCGAAGTGTATGCGTGCCAAGTTTGGTCTAAATCGGTTCAGAAATAAAAATCTATTCCGCACATACGTACATACATACAGACATTCAGCTTTATATATGACTAGTTGGCAAACCCGGCTCCGCCCGGCCCTGTCAATAACATATTTGTAATCAGCATGCTCGATTACCCCCCCCCCCCCTGTGCCAACTCCCAGCCCCGTAGCTCAAACTTTGCAAAAAATCGATAAAATCGATATCGATCGATAACGAAAAGTAGCCTATGACACGCTCCCTGTCCCAAAGTATATGTGCGCCAAGTTTGGTCCAAATCGGTTCAGAAATAAAAATTTCTATTCCGCACATACGTACATACATACATACATACACACATTCAGCTTTATAGATAAAGACTAGCTGGCTTACCCGGCTCCACCGTATGTTCCGAATAGAAAATTCCATTTCTTAACCGATCCGGACCAAACTTGGCACACATACACTTCGGGCCCCGGCGGGTGTCACAGTCCACTCATACGTACATACATACATACAGACATACATACAGACATACAAACAGACATTCAACTTTATATATAAGATTTCAATATTCTGATAACTCATTTCTTACCAAAAGCGCTTCTCAGCGCCATTGGCCTCGATAATTGTGCAGATCTTTGACTTTCATTAATCATCAACAAGGAAAAATGATTTTGAAAAAAGGGCATAGGAAATAGGCGCTGAAGTTATAGAACGAGGTTTATACAATAAGCTCGTAATCATTGCTCCTAATCTTCATAGTAAAAGTAGAACACAATCTGTAGAGCTTGAAATTCAGATCTTTGAAGCTTCAGGATGTAAAGCTTTCTCTTCAGCTGCATCTCCGCATGGAGTTCTACAGATTTTTGAGCTATTCAAAACCCAAATGAACGGCCCAAACCTCATCTGCAAGCATTTAACCAACTGTCAGAAAGCTATAGGGCAGAGCTAACTGTCATTTCCCTCCTCTCCCCTCATGAATTTCCTTCATAAGTGGTCCATTTCAACGCAAAACTTGTATTCTGATACAAATCCATGATGATGCTGCCAACTAATTGCTCGGCTTTGTTGTTTACGTACGAAGATTCTTCACGACATAGTAATTCGCATCACAATAACTGAAAGAAGTAGCTGTAATGACGTCTGCTCTTTGTCCGAGTTAAGTGCAAATTGTGCTCACCTTTTTAAACAAAAACTATAATGAGAGGCAATTAAATGTCAGAGGCAATCTATGATGATGTCATCTACAAACTCTTGGGAGGAATTTGATTTTTACTTAAAAAATGCACTTGAAATAACAGTTGGGTGATCATCGCCATACTTCTTGACTCCTGATTCGCTCACCACTTTTTAGCATTATTAGTGAGAGAAAAAGCGTTCCACCTTTTTTTCCGGATTGAGGGCCTACTCAGTAATCCAAATGTCACTATTTTTGAATAATATGTTTGAAAAAGGTCCATGTTCCTGATGTGTGTCCCGAAACTGAGCTATTTGGTGCGATTGAATACGGTGGTTTGACCAAAGTAAAACCTTGACTATTGAAGTTTTGTGTGTAAGCTTGATGTATCGAAAAGCGAGATAAGGTGGCTCTATCTGAAATTGTCATTCCTTACAGAGAATACCTTGCACTCGATTGAATCTGCTTGCGATATTGGCAAAAAAATTCTTGGATTTAACTTACGCAAATAGAGAGCAAAGTAATTTTGAGTCAGTTTTTCTAAATAGGTTGGCGTAATTTCTCTTGTGGTTGAATTCGGATCAAAAAGAAGTTCATATGAGCATTAAATAAAGATCTTCATCTCACCTTCGAATACAAAAGATACTGAGATACCAATACACGTATTTTGTTCTGATAATATTATTTCGCAATCATCGTTTGATACTCTTTGATTCAACAAAATTGGCGGCTGGAAGATGACCGCTCGAGCTCGCGACGCAGTCTGCGTTCTCTTTCGCGAAAGTGCAATCTAAGCATCCTCTAGCCTTAATTAGGTCACAAAGCCCCGCCTTCTAGCCGCCAATCCAGTTGCATCAAAGGGCTTGAATAATTGCGACTTGAGCTGAAATCAAACAAAGCTTCTTCCCGTTTTGTCGAGAGTAGAGTAGATGCGTCGTGCTATTACTCCTAATATTCTTCCAAAAATTTAGTGTCATCTAATAATAAGAAACTGAGCATAAATTTGCTTGAAAATGGTCGTTATTATATGTTTTTAGAAAACGACTGAACTTCTCAAATTTCGATAAGCAATAGTGGTTGCGTGAAAGGAGGTTGTCTAAAAATTCAAAAGCGAAAGAATGCTGCAGTAATAGATGAAATGCAGTATTTCCAATTCCTAGGATTTAGGCCATTTGATCACAATTTTAT